TCTCCTCTACTCCCTGTTCACCCACGACTGCGTGGCCACACACAGCTCCAAGACCATCGTGAAGTTTGCTGATGACACGACCGTCATCGGCCAGATCACAGACGATGACGAGACGGCGTACAGAGAGGAGGTCGAAAACCTGACATCTTGGTGCCAGGATAACAACCTCCATCTCAACGTCAGCAAAACAAAGGAGCTGATTATGGATTACAGGAAGCAGCAGGGAGAGGGACACGCCCCCATCGCCATCAATGGGACTACGGTGGAGAGAGTCAGCAGCAGAGGTCGCGTTAACCGAATATTTTCCGTCTATGACGTAATTTTTCCAAGAATGACGGAAAACTCTGAAAGCAGTCCGTCATTTTGACAGATTAGAACACAACTCGGAACAGCGCCAAAATGTCCACCAGCGGCCCACATTATATTACATCCTTATGGCCAGGTCGACTGAGGGCGATCTACTGTACTCTACTTTAACTATTATTTAGTAATTCACACCCCTGTCCAGTTGGTGGCGAGTGTGTGCATATTAAGTAGCTATTGTCTAGTCTTGTATTTGACCTCGTTGATTTCCTCGTTGTTTAACCGGCTTTAGCAATCGCAAAATGTCACGGCAGCTGAGTGTCCGAAGCTTTTTTAATAAGCCCAGTAATTGTGATGGTGTGGATAAACGAGGTGAAAGAAGAGGGATTGATGCAGTGGAGGATGAAGGACAAGCCAGTAAGACTAACACTGACAACGTTCAGCCAGCAGCAGAGGGACAAGCAAGTGGCAAGGAAAAAATAAATCATTCATATTCGTTTCGACATGAAAAGTGACCGCACGGTCGGTGTCTCTGTTCATCTTTGTTTTTCTCCATGCCCTTAAAAGTTCTGTATGAATCATAAAAAAAAGGAATGAATGAACATTTGCTGCTTAGTACCCAAACATAAATATTAAATATGTCTCATCATTAAAACATGAAAAATAAAATGACGGGTAATAATGGATTATGACGGAAATGTTACGATCCTGTCCGTCAAAATGACAGACAACGAAAAAGTCTAACGCAACCACTGGTCAGCAGCTTCAGGTTCCTTGGTGTCCACATCACTGAGGACCTGACATGGACTCATCACTGAGGACCTGACATGGACTCATCACTGAGGACCTGACATGGTCTCTTCACACCACCACCATCACCAAGAAAGCTCGACAGCGGCTCTTCTTCCTCCGCAGGCTGAGGAGGTTCAAAATGGACTCCAGGATACTCTGCAACTTCTACAGGTGCACCATAGAGAGTATCCTGACCTTCTACAGGTGCACCATAGAGAGCATCCTGACCTTCTACAGGTGCACCATAGAGAGGATCCTGACCTTCTACAGGTGCACCATAGAGAGCATCCTGACCTTCTACAGGTGCACCATAGAGAGCATCCTGACCTTCTACAGGTGCACCATAGAGAGGATCCTGACCTTCTACAGGTGCACCATAGAGAGGATCCTGACCTTCTACAGGTGCACCATAGAGAGGATCCTGACCTTCTACAGGTGCACCATAGAGAGCATCCTGACCTTCTACAGGTGCACGATAGAGAGTATCCTGACCTTCTACAGGTGCACCATAGAGAGCATCCTGACCTTCTACAGGTGCACCATAGAGAGCATCCTCACTGGCAGCATGACGGCCTGGTACGGCAGCTGCACTGACCTCGATCGTAAGGCTTTACAGAGGGTGGTGAAAACTGCACAGCACATCACCAGGACGGAGCTGCCATCCATGGAGGACCTTTACTCCCAGCGACTCAGGAAGAAATCACTACGGATTATCAAAGACCCCCATCACTCCAGCCACAAACTGTTCTTTCTGTTGCCGTCTGGCAGACGTTACCGCAGCATCCTGGCAAAGACAAGAAGATTCGGAGGACAGTTTCTTCCCGCAGGCAGTGAGACTGTTAAAACAATTGAACTGCTGAAACAACTTCAAAACATTCATCTGCTACTTAGTAATATATATCTACTATCTAATATATATCATTCCAATAACTTGTATATAGACTCGTACTGCACTATTCCACATGCCTCACTTTATTTTAGAACTATTTTTCATTTGTATTACTTTTACTATCTGTATTATTATTATGTTGCATTGTTGGAGAAGCCTGTGACATAAGATATTTAATTATTATTTTCAGTCCACTGACATTCAAACGGAGTGAAACTATACGAAAATAAGTTACAAGGCACTTAATGATCTCATACATGCAAGTGTAACATACACAGATTAACACTTAGGAGTGCTAAGTGTAAACAAGGTAAATATAGCTAATGCTAGCTGTAGCATATCCCTCCAAAATATGGTCGTAGACTTTCCTGATGATTTAGAATTGATTGAAACTCCAGAGTCAACGTAAGAGTTATAAAGACACAAAAATAACAAATACATTTAGGCTCAATCCGTATTAGAATCACTTTAGCATACTACCAAAAGTTAACTATAAACACTACAGACAGCAAAGCTA